CCAAAATAATTCACCAACAATGAATATGAACTGATCAACTTAAATTTTTTGTTGAACCAAACAAAAGTAACATAAAAAATTCCAACTTTCAATACCTAATTAATTAAACAGATGAATAAAGACACCTTTATATTATACATGGGAGGAAAATCAATCTTGAAAGATAGGGCAATACCTATATAGTGCCACAATGGGTTAGCTCATGTGAGTCTGCGATTATATTTTTGTTGTTTTTAATTTTTGAATACAATCGATAGTCAAAGTAATAAGGAGGATGATGATTTTTTGGACACACACTTTTTCCCTAAGCTAGACCCCATTTGCGAGAATGTAATTATTTTGGAAGACTGCTAGGCCCTTCGTAAATAATGAATAAACTTGCTTCACAATAGGCATGGGCTTAGGAAAACGCCGTTATAGTCTTTAGAGAACGTACTTGAACCAAACAACAGGATCAAGTGTCCTTTCAGATTTATTTAAGATAAGAGATTTACACAAGATGCGGTAGTTTTATCACATTTCTAAGGGCTTCAGGCCCAAACACACAAATAAAACGACGTAGTAGTAGCAGAACTCCCATCTTCTGTACCAGGCTAGCAACAGCAACAAGAATATTTCTCAGGCAGCACATAAAAAATAATATCCCCATCACACAAACACGTAGCAGAAAAAGTTCTTATCCAAGAAGAACGTCTCTAATGGAATGCAGCTCAGATGCAGCATCACTGATATTCTTCAGACGGTCCGTCGGAGATTCAGCAGAGCATTCAATTCCAATTCTAAATATTGAATTCAAGCACACCTCAATCTTTTGAACCCTTCTCTCGTTGGTGCCTCCTTCAAAAAGTGTTGAATCTACAATCTCCATAACTCGATTAGGGAAAGCCATTTTAACAAAAGTATGAAGGTTTAGGTCCCCTTTAAACATGTCGTCGGTGGGTCGCTTTCCTACGAACATCTCTAACAGAAGAATACCAAAGCTATAGACATCTCCATTTGTTGACACCTCACTTCCCATACCGTACTCTACCATTGAAACATCATAAGATATTATCAGCACAATTGTTAGTAAAATAGCTAAACTTTGTAAGATTTAAAAGGAAAAAATGACACCATTTACCTGGAGCAGCATAACCAACTGTTCCTTTTATTCCGATGGAACTTGTTGGATTTTTTGAAGCATTAGTACCAGTTTGTTGGGAGAGAAATCTTGCGAGTCCAAAGTCAGAAACATGTCCAGTCATCTCGTTGTCCAAAAGAACATTGCTCGGCTTGAGATCACAATGAACTATCGGTGTTTCACAATGATTATGAAGATAATCCAATGCACAAGCAACATCAATGGCAATGTCTAGCCTTTGCTCTAGATTGAGTGCCTCTCTTACCTCTTCAATTTCAGTAGGAGGATGCAGCCACTCCTCTAAGTTTCCTCTGTCCATGTACTCGTAAACCAGAGCCTTGAAGTCATTACCATGAAAGTCAACACTTGAACACGCAGTTATAATCTCGACAAGATTTCGATGCTTGATGTTTCTTAAAGCCTCACATTCGGCCATGAAACTCTTCGATGCTCCATGGCGTAACAAGTTGAACACCTTCACAGCAACAAGTTGATGTTTATCATTATCATCAAGAATTCCTTTGTACACAGACCCAAAACTGCCTGCACCAATCAAATTAGCTGAAGAGAACTCGTCAGTAGCTCTTAGGAGAGTAGTATATGACACTTGCAAGAAATTGTTCGCCAATGTGCTCAACGGAATCTCTTTCCTTTTCCTTCTTGACGAACAGAGGAAGAAATAGGACATCACCATAACTATTACAAGAAGAGCAAGTCCGGAAAGTACTAACGGGATTATTAATTTCGAGCTACGAGATGATCCTCCGTTTTGGGACTTGCACTTGGGCAGTTGGAGATTAGCAATACCTCCACAGAGCTTGGTGTTGCCAGTAATTGAAATCGCACTTGCATTTTTGAAAACACCTCCAGTTGGAATTGCTCCCCAAAACTCATTGAAAGACAGGTTGAGACTCTTCACCAAGACAAAACCCTCCAAAAACTTCGGAATTTCACCCGAAAAATTGTTGCGAGAAAGGTCTAAGTCTTGAATCCCCCTCAAAGAGTTCATTGATGAAGGAATGGTCGCATTGAAGAAGTTGCCTTGCAAGTGTAGGACCTCTAAACGGACACAACTACCAAGGCTACTAGGAAGCTCTCCGGATAACATGTTATCAGAAACGTCCAGTGCACCTAGATTCTTCAACATTCCAACCTCCATAGGAAGAGAACCAGTAAAGTGGTTAGAAGACAAGTCCAAAAGCATTGCTAAGGATGTCAGGCCAATAACTTGTTGAGGTATTACGCCACTTAGGTTATTATTAGACAGATCCAATGCTTGCATTGACTGGCATTCCCCTAGGCTTGAAGGGATGTTGCCCTGAAGATTATTATATTCCAAGGAGAGTTTGTTTAACTTGGTTAAATTTCCAAGAGTGGACGGAATGCTTCCTGATAATTCATTCATGGAAATATCTAATTCTACAAGCATTGAAAGCTTACCAATGTTATTGGGAATGTTACCTGTGAAGTGATTATCCCACATAAACAACGATTCCAAGCTGACCAGATTCACTATCTCATCCGGGATGCTTCCATCTAGTTGGTTCCCTTTAAACCAAAATGTTTGAAGCGTGGTTGAGAGATTGGATATTGATGTGGGCAACGTCCCTCCTAAATTGTTATCGGCTATAATCAACGTTCTTAACTCTGTAGCATTGGTTAAGCCTGAGAGAAAATTTAAGTCTCCATCTTTACTGCTTCCAACATGATTATGTTGAATGTTGAAATCCTGAAGGTCATTAAGCTTTTGACAATCCGGCACCTGCCCAGTTAGTTTGTTATTTTGAACTTGAAATCTCAATAAACTTGTGGCATTGGATATGGAGCTGGGAATGGTTCCGGTAAATTGATTAATGGCAATGTTGAAGACTTGGAGGTTAGGAAGAGTTTTACCTAAGTCTGAGGGAATAGTCCCCTGAATTTCGTTTTGTATTATGGACAGAGTAAAAAGAGCAGAGAGGTTAAAGATGGAGGAAGGGAAGGTACCAGATAACTTATTAGCGCCCATTGACAAGAATGTTAGTTTTTTCAAACGGCCAAGAGAACTAGGGATGCTTCCCACCAAGTTATTGTAAGTTGCAGCAAGTACCTCGAGAGATGAAAGGTTCCCCAAGGAAGGAGGGATCTCCCCTGTTAAATTGTTAGATTGCACAACAAATCTTCGAAGCTTCGATAAGGAGCCAAATTCAGATGGAATTTTACCCACCAACCCGTTGAAACCGAAATTCATGAAGATGAGGTTGGAGCAATATGATATGTTGTATGGAATAGGGCCACTAAATGAGTTGTTGCGTAGAGCTAGTACCTGCAACCTACGCAAATTCCCAATTTCTGGAGGGATTCCGTCGGTAAAGCTGTTGTTTAGTAGCTCTAGTTCCTTTAGGAAACTTAGATTTCCTATGTGTGGGGATAGGGACCCTGCGAGCTTTTGAGATTGAAGGTCCAGCTTTGTGACCCTTTGGCGATGTCGTCGACTGCAGGTGACGCCGTGCCACAGGCAAAAGTGAGTGGATTCATTCCAGGAGCTCGTTACATTATGAGGATCATGCTTTATTTGAGCTTTGATGGCTAGCAGGGCCAGCCTATCTGTCTCGTTCCCTCCCAGTCCCATTTGCATGGAGCAAACCAACAATACTCCATTGAAAAGTGAGTACATCAAAATCAGTTTCAAAACCAAAACCTCCATTTGGGTTGTGAAATTAGTAATTCCCATATGAGGGCATGGCAAATTTAACTGGTTTATGAGATTGAGTAATGAGCTTATTAACCAAGTCCAAGTCATTACGATCCGCCACGGTTGACTTGCTTCCGATGTTGACTTTGATGACTTACTGACGGCAAAATAGCAACTACATGACAACTTCACTGATTTGCAACGAATTAGTCATATACATGCATGATGCAGAAAATTGGATTGGAAGCTGGTGGGGCTTCCCCTATTAATTAAGATTTACTAGAGGACATGGTTCAAGTCATCAAGGAAGGTAATCAAAAGCTGACTTATAAAAGGAAAAAATGTTGGAATTGTTTTTTTGTTGACACACGGTAGGATTTTGTAAAACTATATTTACTATGTGATAATTTAGCTCTTGTTATTTATGTGAGTCGAACTTAAGATATTCTCCAATTAAATGAAGATAACTAAATTAGACTTTGACTAGGCGATAAATGTCTGGATTATTATTCTCAACAAAATTTTGTAAGTGTGATCTATTACACAAGTCTAATGGATTAGTTTGTTATTGTATATTATTGGCAGGCATTATGAGAAAACCCCAAGGTTTTAACATAAGAAATGTAATATAATGTAAGTTTTTTTTTGGCAGGAACTGAAGAAATATTGCTTAAACATTGTATTTTCACTATTAGAGAAAATTGTCTATCAGCATTCCTTTCATAACTCACAAATCCAACGAAATTTCTGGAACTTTGACTGATGATGGGATTAATTATGACATATTGAGCTAAGAAAACTAAGGTGAAAAGTCAAACTTTCTAGATAAAGAATTAGTGTCTTTCTTTGCAAAGACACTAATAAAAACGCTATTATTTACTGCAACTTTGGTCACTAAATGGCTTACAATTTGGTCACCAAAAGATGCATTTTGGTCATTGAAAGTGAGTCACGTGCCCACTAGCTCGTTGTTGTTGAAATCGAGATTGGTGAGGATGAAGCAATTGGAAACATTTGCAGGAATGAGTAGGGGTTGGTACGGTCCAAATTGGATTGGTTTCACCTCAAAATCACGGCCAAATAAATTATAATTTAACAATTTGGTTTGGTTCGGTTTTAACAAAAGTCATGAAGGAAACTGAACTAAACCAAACCAATTTAAGACGGTTTGGTTCGGTCAGATTGGGCCTAAGCCCAATTCTCTTTCTTTTTGTATTTTTCAACATTGTTAGGTCAATTACTGCCAACAATTTCCTCCATACTTAAATAATTTTCAACAATTTGCTCAATACAAATAATTTTCTAGAGTACGAAACCATCCTAAAGCTCCACATGCCATAAAACTTCAAATTTCAATAACTAATATAGCTCAATTTAAATATCCATATATAGTTATTACCTAATTAGAATATTACCTATGTAAAATATAATATAAATAAATAAATATACACAAACAGTTCTGTTTGGTTTAGACTGGTTTACAAAAGCTCAAAATCAAACCAAACCAAACCATATACGGTCTGATTTAATTTTTAAACCGTTTGATTTATTTTTAATCAAAACCAAACTAAACCGATAATTATGATTTGATTCAATCGATTTTATTTATTCGGCCCGATTGATGCCCACCTCTAAGAATAAGGCGATTAAATTGGTTATTGTCTAGACGTAAACTTGCAGTCTACGCAAAATGCCAACAATTATGCTACCTTATGCTACAAATTAAAACCACAATTCTGTATCACTTTATATGGCTGCTGATTCAGACATTCCACGTCCATTCAATTTCTAGAGGAATAAATAATTAGTCCAACAAGTTATGATCAACCTACTTTATATGGCCGCTTATTCAGACATTCCACGTCCATTCAATTTCTGGAGGAATAAATAATTAGTCCAACAAGTTATGAACAACCTCTGTTGACTTGCTTTTTCCAATATAGATCTAGACTTCATTTGCTCATATATTATTACCTTGCATCTGAGGTCTTAAGTTCAATTCCCCCTTCTTCAATATTACTTTGTATCAAAAATATTGTTGCCGCATCTAGTGTTGTTACAATATAATTACACAAATGCTAGAAACTCGAAGGACCAAAATCATTCCAAAACATTAGAAAAAAGTTTTTTGAGGCCACAATCTCTTATGTGATTTCAAATCCCACCAATGCCACACAATATGTGATTTTTTTTCCCCTTAAGATGATGGTGGTTGGCAGGGTACCGACTGAAAATTGTCGCCAGTAGTCGACAGTGGCGACTGGAGGCTGACCGGAAACGATGCCTGCAAAGGAGGGAGGAGCTAGGAATTGTTTGGTTGTACATAAAGTAAAATGTTGGTATTTAAACTAAAATTCTTGTAAATGAATCTCAAAACTCGCAAACAATAGTTTATTAAAATGTAAATAACACACACTTTTGTCGATTTATCTTTTTCCTTTCCTATATACTATGCATTTGCCACAAGTTTATTGTTATGCATTTCCCACATAGCAACTAGCATTCTCAACCGTTGGTTATAAATCAGCAAGTCTATATCATCTGAATCCGATGGCTCATATTCACGAGGCAGCTTTTCTCTTTCACTCCATTAAAACAGTTACCCTCCATTTGATGAAGTAATTGAAAATTACATAGAATTTTAAAATGAAGGAATTTAAATTTCCATCATTTTTTTTTTGTCTAAACCACGAGGTGGTCCTGGATGAGCCCCAACTATGGGTGGCACCTTTAAGCCTTAACCACAACCCAGACTAATCCCCGCTTACATGGAGCGTAATTGTTTCTAGCAATTGAAGATATCCGTGTTTGGATTTATGTATGTCGAATTTTGTAAATAGCACCATGAAAATTATGAAATGATACCTATTTTGGTGGAAATTAAATTCGGGAATTTGATGCCCCAATTTCCAGGATTTTTTCCGCGGGTCATTTAATAAATTCCACTCTTAATTTGCCAAACAAGGGAATTGTCAATTTCTCCTCTTAAATTCCCTACTTTTAGCTAAATTCCGAGTTATTTTCCCTCATCCAAACGGAGGATTATTCACCTTTGGGATTTCCTAATGGACCGCAGCTTAGACACAACATCGTTTATATTCTTCAAGTGATCTGTTGGGGATTCAGCAGAACATGCAATTCCAATTCTAAAAACCGATCAAAATATAATTAATAAACCGCTCTCTAAAAATGTCCTGATTTTCAGTTTTATTAGGGCACATATCCAGTGCCCTCAAAAGTTCATTCCAAAAAACAAACTAGGAGTAGGGATGACAATGTTCACCAAGGGTAAAAAATTTGGAACTGGTGGATCTGACCTAAACTGTAATAACTCGAAACTTTAAGTTTATTTTTCATAAATGATCAAAAATAATATTATGCTATAGAATGAGTGTGGGTATTTTATGAAGTAAATTTGGATTGAAAATGATGGATTAAAGGGTGTTTAAAAGCAAGTTGGACCAAAATGCCCTTACATATTTGGTTGAGGTTTTTAAAAGAATGTTTAGGTAATAAACTAAAAAGTTATGTTTAGTGTTGTTATTTTTGTGAAAGATCATATTATGTTGAATAGTAGTTGTGGGCATTTTGTGAAAGATTGAGCAATGCGCACTACTAAAAAAAAACCCTTGCGCGACCAAACAACATTCGTCGCGCAAAGTCACTTGTGCGACAAATATTAATCATCGTCGCTCAAAGTCTTACGCGACTCAATTTGGCGCAACGAAAAACAAATCGTTGCACAAAGTCACTTTGCGCGACAAAACTTTGCGCGACGACAAAGCATTGTCGCAAAAAGTAACTTTGCGCGACGAATACTAGAATTCGGTGCACAGAGTTTTGCGCGACGAATAGTGATTCGTTTCGCAAAGTATTTACAAAAATAAATAAATAAAAAATTATTTTAAAAAAATTTTGGATGCCTTTGCGCGACGAAATAATAATCTTCGTCTCGCAAAGTCTTTACTAAAATTTTTAAAAAAATTAAAAAAACTTTGGATGACTTTGCGCGACGAAAAAATAATCTTCGTCTTGCAAAGTCTATACAAAAATAAATAAAATTAAAAAATTATTTTGTTAGAAAAATATATTATTGTAGTTCGGATTGGGTTTTTGTTAGAAAATATATATTTTAAATTGACGATCAAATTGGTTCATTGTATTCAT